TTCAAATGATTCAGTTTTTTTAATATCCAAAAACACTAAAATATAATAATAAAAAATTTAAAAATTATATTTCCAATAAAAAATGCTCATCCGAGCATTCGTAAAAAAAAAATAATAACAATGAAGTTTTGGCATTCACTTTAAATTTTTGCTCACAATCTGCAATTTTCCTTTTTCTTATCCTAAGACTCAGTACATTCTTTGTCAAAAATGAAAAAAATAATATATTTAACCTTTTCATTTTATCCTTCCTTTTATATTTATTCTCCCTTAAATCGCTACCTTTTTTATTTTTAGTAAAAGAATATGGAAAAAATGTTTATTTTTTTTAAAGGATATAACTTTGTATCATTTTAGATCCTAACCGTTGATTTTTATCAATCAACGATTAGAATTTATTGAATTTTATTGTGAATTACTAATTAATTAATATGTTTGACTCAATAAATCCTAACCGATTAGAATTTAAAATGACACAAAATTATATCGTTTATAAGGATAAATATTTTTCTCAAAAAATATATACTCCTACTGCTGTAATATCAAAAGATATGGGAAATTATGTAACAAAAAAAAAGATGTGGGAAATTTTTGGAGTGGGGTAATGCGAATGGATTGTTAAAAGTGGTCTGCTATTGGGCTTGGCCCATATACAATAATATGCTCTAGTCAATGAATTTTGTTGAGGTTTTTCTGTTGGCTGCTTTCAAGTATAAGGGCAACAAAAGGGCCGAAGTAATATGATCGTATATGACGGGCCTTTATCCATCATATTTGGTGAATCTAACCATCGGTTCAGGATCCAAACTTGTACTTACTTCTCAGCTCGGAAATGAAATGATTGAGAAATCTTGATTATAACTAGATTAAATGTATAAAAAATTACAATATATAAAAGACACGATATTTTTTCCCTGAATTAAAAGATAAAGACTAAAGGGCGAAAGTAATTTATTTAAAATTAAATGAGGGAGTAGAACAGTTAATTAACTGTAAATCCCAAACAGGGAAATATAAACATTTATGGAAGAGAAATTAACTCCCTTTTATTCTTCGTTCCATCCCTTCCTCGTTACTTTTAAAACATCCAATGATAACATTAGCGAAGTTAGCGTGATCGTAGGTCTACCATTTCATTTCCAGTATTGGAATCTCAACAACTTCTGTACCTGATATTCCAACAACTTTCAAATTGGGGGTCCAATGAGAAACATATACGGATTGACTTTGATACTTAAGACAGTCAGAACTTAGATCTTTCAGTCATATTTATTGGTAATAAAACAACCAACAGTTACCAGGTTGAAATAATTACTGTTATTTAATTAGGGCAAAATGTATTCTTATGCAGTAATTTGTTTATTTTATGTCACTCTCAGTTTGTAAAGTGTGCTTAATCTTTTTTATTTATTTTTTTCACAAAAATTAGTGGGACCCAACTTACTTCCATGTGCAAGAAAATTTGATTATCTTCGGCTACAGTAGAAAAACAAAGCCCTTTAATTAATTAGATACGCCCATAGATGCTCGCTGTTTTGAATTATGGCAAGGTATTTCTTTAGCAACAGAAAACAGTAATCAAAATTAATTAGGAAAGTATTTGTTTATAAATTTTTTTTATGAATTACACTAAGTATTAAGGGTGTTAACGGGCCGAGCTGAGCTTTGATCTTAAGAGGCTAAGCCTGTATATAAATGTGTCAGTCTGACCAAGCCTGTTACCTGTTATGAATATAATTATCGGCTTGTGGCCTGACTTATTTACAAAAAATAAAAGCCTGATTCAGCCTGTTCAAAAAAAAATAAGACCACAAAAATTTATCCAAACAGAAAATATAATCAACAGCACTGGTAATTCCATAAATATTTATAAATTTAATGTATGTCCAAACAACATAATATAGAACAAAATCAATTAAAAAGTCTGTTTAACCAATAAAATGGGGCGAAATGGATTGAGGAAGGAGAGGGGGCTATGACAATCAGTATAAAAAATATAAAATAAAAGTAAAAATTAATATACTAATTCAGCCTGAGAGGCTCCAAGGCCGAGCTTTTCAATTGGAGCCTGAGGCCTTTTTATTAAATGAGCTTTTATAGAAGTACAAGCATGGTTCCAACAACCAATTTTAGACATGTAAGCTCAGGCCTTCACGAGCTGAGTCAAAGGTCCCTGAAAGACCCCTGTTCATTTAACACCCCTACTAAGTATGATCAGTCATACACTCTTGATTAAAGTATGTCATATTTAGTGTAATTTATTTTTTTGTAAACAAAAAGTTTGTAAATATAATTTTCACCAAATTAAATTAGGGAAAAAAAATATTTTTAGCAGTTATAATTATATATTCTAAAAAGTATATATTTATAATATTAAAGCTATATTTTTTTTTTCAGAAATTAAAGGTAAAAAAATAAATATAATTTTAATAATATAATTATATATTTTTCGAAGGGAGGGATTATATTGACAAACTTTTTTTCTTACAAATTACACTAAGTCTGACTAGTCAGACTTTAATCAAGAGTGTATGACTGGTCAAACTTAGTGTAGTTTGTAAAAAAAACCTATTAAATTGTTCAAAAAAAAAAAAAAAAACCTATTAAATTAATGCAACAAATTATTCCCAGATAAACCTATGTAAATATACTAAAGCCGTCTCCTTGGGATTCCACAGTCATGTTCCTGTCTAACAAGTGACATGGAGCCACTTCAACCATTATTTAATCATCATTTTCACTTTTTTAAGTCCTGTTATCAATCTAAAATAAATAATAGTATCATTAATTTAATCAAATAAGTTGAAATTTTAGGGTGTACGCAAAATAATATACCCAATAAAACAAGAAAGCAAGAAAACCAATCCATTCAAAATTGTATAGTTGAGGAAAGCTAGTGGGCAATCAAGACTCGACCCTACTCTCTCTCATGTATGTATAACGCACAAAAATTCTGTATTTTGTTTGATATTTTCTTATTCTAATTTCTTTAACTTTTTAGAAATATAATACTTCTAAAATAAATAAAAAATTTATATTTACTTTAAATTTAATTCAAAGAATATTTTAATATTAACGCATAAATTCTATCAAAAGGAAAGTAACAAAATCAGTTCAGGTAAATCAATCCAGTTTTCAAGAATCGTTTTTCTTTTGTTGGTTTCTTTGTTTGTTTGGTTATCTATACTTGTTGATTTGCTTCATATGCATGGAATCTGTTTTTGTTTATGGAGGAGATTTGACCTTTGTTGTCTGTTGGAAGATTTAATCGATTAACTTGAAGATTTAACCGATTAAATCTTCAAGACAACTATTTTTGTCAGTTTTGACTATTTAATCGATTAAATATTCAAGTTAATCGATTAAAGAAGGACAGATTTGTAGATAATTTTGAATAAGGGACAAAATGATTATTAATTAATTAATGAATGGTAAAAGGATCAAAAAGTCACAAATAATTCCCCAAATTTTAAAAAATAATAAATAATTAAAAATAAAAATAAAAATAAAGTAAAAATAAGAGAGAGAAAAAGAAATAAAAGAAATAAGGAAAAAAATAGAGAGAAAAAATATATAAAAAATAAGAGAATAAAAAAAAAACAATTCGGTTTTTTAAACCAATTCGATTTATAAACTGATTTTGAAAATCTAATTTCAGTTCATGAATTGAATTTTCAAAAACAATTCAGTTTAAAAATTGATTTTTAAAAAGTAATTTAATTTAAAAACTAATTTTTAAAAATTAGTATTTTTTAATTGCAGTTTAATTCTGGTGGCAATTCATTTTAATTTTTTTATTGATGGTGGAGTCCGCTTCACCCATTCCCAAAACCAAGTTGACAAATAAGGGGATGGAGCAATCGTATATCTAATCGAAGAAGCGTTGGAAGATCTCTTCTTCTTTTTTTCGTTTGATTTGACTCTCTTTTTTTTTTCTCAGAATCACTAATCTCATAAATTAGAGGGCCTCATTGGAACAACAGCAAAAAGATAAAATTTTACCCAAAAAAAAGTTAACAAAGCAGGTTAGAGTCTCAAAGTGGTGACACCAACAATGATCTAATGGATAAAGTAAAAAAAGGTTATATTACTATGGTGCAATAAGAGATATATTATGTCATATTATAAATGCAATCATATGATGACAGTTTATGTAATTGTGTGTGATGTCCTATAAAGTTGTATTCGTAATTTTTTTTTGGAAGTTTATGTAACAAACAATAATGACCATTTTTTTATTCTGTTTAAACATATTGGTTTTACTATAAGAATAAATTTCGATCACAGACGTTTAAGATGTTACAGTAAATACAAGAAAATTTGTTTTAACTTTTACATGACAAACAAATTTCTTTTTTTCTTTGTGCAACACATAAGCAATAAACTATTATTTCTATATTGTATATAATTAATGCAGTACATTGACCGCAACATTTTTTTTTTCATTTGTTCAATTGCTGAAGCAGGAGACAACTTGCTGTACAAGAGAAAGTTTAGTATGGAAGAAGTTTGGCGTTATTAATGTAACATTAAAGTCTTTTATAGACTACATTCAATATTAACTTACAACTCTCTTATCTATTTTTTTTTTTGAATAACTGTGCGCTATAAAATTCCAATTAAAAATTTAATTTACAATTTACGTTAATTTTTTTGAGACAAATAATTTGATTTTTTTTCTCCATGCATCGCACGAGTAATAAACTAGTTATTTATTAAAAATAAAAAAGACATAATAATCAATGAATTTGTAGAAAATTATATTACTCTCGTACAATATAAGAATAATATAACCCAAAGTAAAATAATAAGAAATACGAATTGTAAGAGAGAAAGAAACATAAAAGATTTAATATTACTTTTGCATCAGAATCCAACCAAAACCAATATTACATACATTAAATATAATTAATTAAAATAATAATATTTCCTTTTCCTTCCTTTTATTATTTAAATCTCAAATTGGACAGTTTTAGGAGAGTGGGAACACATTTACCTGAACAAGGAAAACAAAGGATTCATTTTATCTGGCCATTTGGTTTCCTTGCAAAACTCAAAAAATAAAAATATCACATAGCAGCAGCACAAAATTCGCTCTTTCCTTCCACAAAAAACTTTCCCTCTATTTTCTCATGACTCTAATATTTTTTTATTCTACAAAATTTTAGATCGCATTATACATAATTTTATTTTTAGTTTCATCTTACACTGCGGATTAATTTTAATTACGAAATTTATGTAAATCAATGGTCCAAAGTGAAAGACTTTCTTCTTACCCTGTTGATGTGTGAGTTGGTTTATATACGATTTTATGAGGGTTTAACTATGGAGGTTATTAGTGGTAGTGGGGTTACGGCGGTGGGACCGGATGCTCCATCGGAATACCATGCAGCTCCGAGGACTGATAAACCAGCTTCGGCTGGTGGATCGGCCACCACATCGGTTGCTCAAGGGGGTGCTCCGCCACCGCATCCGGCGGGAACAATGATGGCGGCAAAGAAGAAGAGGGGTCGACCTAGAAAGTATGGATCAGACGCGTCGGTGACCATGGCGCTGTCTCCCAAGCCAATATCTTCTTCAGCTCCACTGCCGTCGGTGATCGATTTCTCGGCGGAGAAACTCGGAAAAGTGCGGCCAGCTAGCTCTGTCAGCAATGCCAATTTTGAGTCGGAGAATTTAGGTAATGAAGAAAATCTCTTTTTTCTTTTGTTATGTGGTTTTTTGAATTGAGTGTGTCTAGTGTGAATGTGAATGGCATTTTGTTTTTCCGTACCTTTTACTCATAATAAAAGAAGCATCTAGCAAACAATCGATGTACCTCGGTTGGTGGGTGCACGGGAACTGAGCAAATGGGACGAGAGCATATCCTTCCTAGTACTTAGCTTTGGTAGGGTTTTAAAGCTTTAAATTCTGAGAGAAATGGAATGGTAGGGGGGATGTTGTTTGTGTTATGTTGGAATAGACTTTTGTCTTATATTATTATAGTCACTAAATTCTGAGAGAGTACATTTGAAGATGTGGATTGGGCAACTGTGTATTCTTTTTCAAGAGGTCCATATTGACATCAGCTTCTCTTTATGGTTTCCTTACATTAATTTCTTCTTACTTGGATGATGCAGTTATGTGGTCCTTCCTTTTTTTTATATAGTTTATTAGATAAGAAGGCTTTTGTTGATTATTAGGATATTCATTGTTACTTGTAAACTTATCTGTGCTTGATGAGTGTTATACTGAGATTTAAATGGTTGACTGTTTGGAATGGATAGTATAACTAATTAAACCGGAAGTCTAATTTTCAATCCAGTAACTAAAAAACAGTGAGTTATAAATAAAGGTGTTTGTTCTATTATAATTTGATGTTAGATGAGTTTACACAATTGATCAATATCTGGAGACTTGCTGCAAAAATGGTTTTGACAGCACATTCATTTTTTTAAAATACTAATTTGAATCCCTTTTGCCATTCTTTTTTTTTGTTAATTTTCTTGTATATTTTCTGCTTAATTTTTTTACTTCTGATAAGCTTCCACATACATTAAGTGATCAAGTAAATTTCTATTCTATGAGCACCTCTTAATTCATGACATACATTGAATTATGTAGCTTTTGTGGCATATTTCAGAGATAAAATAACCTGAAGAACTATTTTGAAAAGGAACTTTTTGGTATTTACATTAACAACAGAACTAAATTTGATGTACTATTCATTTAAAAAATCTGATGCAGAGTTTTAAAGTTATCCTTTGCAGATAATGAAAATAACATTTTCTTATGTAAAAGAATCTTACTATGTGTTTTCTTATTACTACCTGATATAAGAGGCATACCCTCCAAAATTGATATGCTGTCTGCTGCCTTAAACCAGAAAAAAATCTGTGTACAAAATCCTACTATGGAGAGTAAAGAATATAATTAAATGTGTATTGGTGGTACTTGCATCAATCTAAGACATAATTCTAATGTTGCCTCAACTTCTTTAGATGGTGACTGAGGTCTAAATGCTCACATTCTTTGAATAAGGGATGCCTTATAATATAATTCCTGATACTGTTGAGTGTTGATCATTTTCATTTTGATATTAAACATCTTCATGGTCAATTATGATTAATTATTGAAAATTCTTTCCTTCTTTTAGGCGAATGGGTTGCGTGCTCGGTCGGTGCTAATTTTACACCCCATATCATCACTGTTAATTCCGGCGAGGTAAGTGTCAGTCATATCAATTGACTATTCTGAGTTTCTATTATACAATGCAATTTTCCTCTCCTTTAATATTCATGGTCAGGTAAATGCCAAAATTATTGGTGGAAGCACATACATCTGATATTTTTAATGGGTAGAAGCACGACTTTAACTAAAATTTCCTGCAATAATTGTATTCATTTTCTGTATTACTGTAGTTATTGATAAAAGAAGTATATATGGTTGACAGCTACTTGTCTTTTTGTTGTCTTAGGATGTTACTATGAAGATAATATCATTTTCTCAGCAAGGACCGCAAACTATATGCATTCTTTCTGCAAATGGTGTCATATCAAGTGTCACCCTTCGTCAGCCTGAATCTTCTGGAGGCACGTTGACATATGAGGTGAAACATTTATGTAATCTGATAGTATCATTTTCTCTAATTCAATGAACTAATTTGGAATTTATTTGTAGTTTGTTGTTAATTTATTGTTTAAATGTGCTCCTTCCGATGATGAAAACTGCGTGCCAGCCACTGGTTCAAATGGACATTTAAGCTGTTTTTTTTACAAAAGTTTTATTATCATTTTATGCTTTTGTTGACAACCCGTAAGTGTAATTTGTTCCTATTATTATAACAACGTGACCTAATTTTCTTTTTGTCTTCTTGTTCTTCTTTGTCTTTTCATGAAAATATGTTTTGGTATAGATGTGTATGAGTGTGTAGCCCCACCCCAGCTTTGCCCAGTTGGCTGATGTGGTTCATATGCAAAAAGAAAACATGGCTTCTGGGCATTGATTTTTATTTGTTTTCAGTGCTTGAAATTTTTAGATCCATTGATGCTCTAGCATATTCTATAAATCTGAAAGGTAACTGGTCATAAAATTAATGTTTGAAATTTTTTTAACGGTTGTAAAATATTAGTACATTGAGTCTGGATTATTTTTAACTGCATATTCCTCAAGGATTTATAAGAAATTATGTACAATTTAGAGGAAGCCAGTGTTTCAATGAAAAATAATATCAGAAATTGCTATAGACCCCTATCACAAATCAAAAGAGAGGAACTCAGAGGAGAAAATATGAACTCCATCTTATGGATTAAAACTGAAAAAATGAATAATCTAAAATGAGTTCTGTACTTTACATAGCTTATATATTATAAAATTAAGCTAACAGAAAACTAACTACTTCTAACTAGTTTAACTAAGGCACGTGGGATCTGATACTTCATGAGCTGACGTGGCCTCCTTTATTACCCCCCCACAAGCTGGACGAAGGATATCATGAAGACCAAGCTTGCCAATATTGAGCAGAAATGGTTAAGGATGAAGGGCTTTGGTAAAGACATCAGCCAGCTGAGAAGAAGATTGAACTGGGAGTAGATGAATGGTGCCATCATTAATGTGTTCTCTTGTAACATGACAGTCGATCTCAATATGCTTGGATCGTTCATGGAATGCAGGATTCTTAGCAAGATAGATTGCTGAGATGTTGCCACAAAACACAGCAGCAGGTTTCGTGAATGGCACACATAAATAAGTGAGTAAGAACTTCAACAATTGAATCTCACAAGACATGGATGCAAGGGCTCGGTACTCAGCCTCAGCTGATGAGCGTGAAACAGTGCTTTGCTTTTTCGAACGCCAAGATACAAGTGAATCTCCCAAGAAAATACAAAGACCAGTGATGGACTTCCTAGTGTCTGGACAACAGGCCCAGTCACTATCGGTAAAACCTGACAGCACCAAGGATTTATTGCAAGAAAAGAACAACCCTTGAGCTAGGGAGTTCTTGAGATACCGGAGAACTCTATGTGCAGCATCCATATGAAGAGCTGTGGGGGCTGAAACGAATTGGCTGAGCTGTTGAACAGCGAAGGAGAGATCAGGTCGTGTGGTTGTGAGATACAGCAGTCTACCAACAAGCCTTCGATATGGTTGAGCATCAAATAAAATTTCAGAAGGATCCTTGGCTTGACATAACTTGTTAGAAGGCTGCATAGGTGTGGAAACTGGTTTACAACTAAGCATCCCAGCATCAGAAAGTATCTCTAAGGCATACTTCTTCTGGTTTACAATGAGACCATCCTTTGAGCGTGCAACCTCCAAACCAAGGAAAAATCTCAGGTTGCTCAAGTCCTTGATTCTGAAAGTAGAGTCTAGGAAAGCCTTAACTTGATTGATCTCGTTCAAATCATCACCTGATAAGACTATATCATCCACATAGACAAGTAAGGCTGTAAAGGAAGAATCAGTTCGTTTGATAAAGAGAGAATGATGTGCCACGGATTGTTGATATCCAATGGAGATGAGTGCTGAAGACAGTTTGGAATACCATTGACGACTCGCTTGCTTGAGTCCATAAAGAGATTTTTGAAGTTTACATACCTTGGGTGGCTGAGACTGAGGGAAGCCATCAGGAAGAGCCATAAACACCTCTTCATTGAGGTCTCCATGCAAAAAAGCATTGTTGACATCAAGTTGCAAGAGATGCCAACCTCTAGAAGCAGCCACACTAAGCAAAACCCGAACAGTAGTCATCTTAGCAACTGGGGAGAAGGTGTCAAGGTAGTCTACTCCTTCCATTTGGGTATAGCCCTTGGCAACTAGCCTGGCCTTATATCTCTCTATGCTTCCATCAGCCTTGAATTTTACTTTGTATACCCACTTACAACCTATTATGTGTTTATCAGCAGGTCGATCAACTAGAACCCAAGTTTGATTCTGCTCCAGAGCAGAAATTTCAGCCTTCATGGCTTCTTTCCAGCAGTCATGCTTTGCTGCTTGAAGATAAGTATGAGGTTCAATGATGCATATGGAATTGCAACAAAATTTTGTAAAAGTGGGTGAGCAATTGTCATAATACAGAACATTGGATAAAGGGAAACGTGTATCAGCATTTGATGTTAAGGAAGAAAGGCCACATTGAAAATCCTTAAGATACTGAGGGTGATTTCTGACTCTTGTGGAACGTCTAATAGGTACTGTGGCTACTTGGTTTGGACTGATAAGATTTGGATTATTAAAAGGTAAGTCACTGGCTTGGACTGTTGTGTTTAAGGGTAAGTCACGGGTAGGATTATTTATAGGTTGGTCACGGGAAGGATCTGTGACAGAAAGAGGTTGGTCAAAGATTTGGTTAATAGGATCATTATAGGTAGGTCTATGGGAGGGAGTGTCATAGATGGGAAAATCACAGAGGGGTGCAGGGTTAGGAAAAGATAAGCATAACTTTTCCTTGAATGGAAAGAAGTATTCATGGAAGACAACATTTCGAGAAGTAAAAATCTCATTAGAAGTGACATCAAAAAGGGTATAACCCTCTATTCCATCTTGGTATCCAAGGAAGACAGCTTTCCTTGCTCTAGGAGAGAACTTATTTCTGTGGCTAGTCAATTTGCTAGCATAGCCAAGACACCCAAATACCCGTAGATGAGTGAGGGCTGGTGGCCTATTGTATAAAATTGAATATGGGGAGCTGTTATTTAGCAGTGGAGTGTTCAAACGATTGATCAGATGGGCTGCATGAATAACAGCAAAATTCCAAAAAGTTGGTGGGATCTGAGACTGAAAAACTAGAGCTCGAGCAACATTCAATAAGTGTTGATGTTTGCGCTCTACTCTACCATTTTGTTAAGGAGTTTCAACACAACTCCTATGATGCATTATGCCTTTCTGTTGATAAAAGGAATCCATGATAAATTCAGTTCCATTATCACTGCGTAACACTTTCAATTTTGTTTCAAACTGAGTTTCTATATATGCTATAAAATTCTGCAGACGTGGCCTCACTTCTGCTTTATTCTTGAGGAGCATTACCCAAACAAATCGGGAAAAATCATCTACAATGGTAAGAAAGAATCTGTGACCATTAATAGAAGAAACACCATATGGCCCCCATATGTCCACATGTATCATATCAAAGACTTTATTGCTTTTAGAATTGCTAAGAGGAAAAGGTAATCTTCGCTGCCTTGAGTAATGACATATGTCACAAGGACATACATCTTCACAGGAGATAAAAGGAAATGCTTTAGACATCTGTTTGAAAACATCAAAAGAAAGATGTCCTAAACGAAAGTGCCATAACTTGGCATTATTCAATTTTCTAGCTACATTAACATAAGCTTTATTCAAGGAGTTGTCAATCTTCATTGTTGTTTCCTGCTTATAATCAAGGAAATACATCCCTTCCTTTGCATCAGCTATACCAATCATCTTCTTGGTATTTGCCTGCTGTATAGTGCACGAAGACTTGCCAAAAGTTAGATAACAAGGAATAGCTGAAGTCAGCTTTGAAACAGAAATCAAGTTGACCTTGAATTCAGGGACATACAAAACATCAACTAGTCGCAAGGTATCACATAAGAAAATAGTTCCTGATATGTTAGTCACCACTTGAGTTCCATTAGGTATCATGATAGAGATTGACTGTATATTGTGGATAGAATTGAAAAGAGACAATACATAACAAATATGACCTGTAGCTCCAGTATCTAGAATCCAACAGATATTACCTGCTGTGTTGCTCCAAGATGCTGATGTTGGAGTTGTATTCAACGCAGCTGTACTTGTCAAATTAGTGGAATGAACTGCTTGCTGTTCATTAGGTGGTTGGCATCCATCATCTTGCAAAAGGCTTAACAATCTCTGATATTGCCCTTGAGACAATGAAACTCCTACTTTTGAATCATCATCGAAAGCAGTTGTGAGTTTCTCCACCAAGTTCTTGTTGCACAAAATTAGCTGAACTATTCTGTCTTCCACCTCTTTTGAAACCAGGAGGAAAACCATGAATCTGATAACAAGTTTCAATGGTGTGGTTGAGCTTTCCACAATGAGTGCACATCTTAGTGCCACGTCCTTGACCTCCTATATTTGGCCTAGGCTTTCCCTTTTCTGCAACAAACTTTCTGCCATAGTTCGAATTATTAGCAAAAGTATGAGATAAAGATGATTCACCTTTAGATACAGTATCGAATTGCCTTTCTTGTTGAGCAACCAAAGAAAAAGCTCGTGTGACATGAGGCAAAGGATCAATCATCATTATCTAGGATCTAACATGAGCATAGTTCTCATTCAAGCCTTTCAAGAAACGCATTGTCTGGTCTTGTTCCTTATGAGTTCGAACCATATGAATGAGCCCACAGTTGCAAGGTACTGCACATCGACACAAAGGTAAAGGACGAAGATTATCTAATTCGTCCCAAAGAGTCTTCAACTCAGTGAAGTAGTCAGTCACATTCATCTCTCCTTGATGAAGCTTATACAAGTCTTCTTGAATTTCAGATAATCTGAATATATCAGATTGACAAAACTGATTTCTCAGATCGGTCCACACATCTGAAGCACGATTCATCCATAGAATGGATCTTTCGATTGAATTGCTAATGGATCTATGAATCCAAGCAAGAACAATGGTGTTGCATCTCTGCCAAGCAACATATGAAGGATCTTCAACAGGCGGTGGAGCAATAGTTCCATCAACAAATCCAAGCTTATTCTTGGATAATAGAGCCATGCTCGTACCCCGAGCCCATGTATGATAGTTCTTTCCACTCAGAGGTGAATTCACGAGAACAAGAGAAGGATTCTCGTTTGGATGCAAGAAAAAAGGATGACTTGGATTGGTCAAGTATTCTGGAATGTTATCTGCCATTGCAAATGAAGAACAGAGAAAAAGAAAACGATCAAGAAGGAAGAAAATGCAGCGGAAATGGTGGATACCAGAGCTAGGAAAGCTCTGATACCATATCACAAATCAAGAGAGAGGAACTCAGAGGAGAAAATATGAACTCCATCTTATGGATTAAAACTGAAAAAATGAATAATCTAAAATGAGTTCTGTACTTTACATAGCTTATATATTATAAAATTAAGCTAACAGAAAACTAACTACTTCTAACTAGTTTAACTAAGTCACGTGGGATCTGTTACTTCAAGAGCTGACGTAGCTTCCTTTATTAACCCCCAACAGATGCGCTAATTCCTAAATCAATTTAAGTAGGATTGTATCTCGATCAGTCAAATGGACTCACCTTGTTGTGAATGATGTGTCAATCTTTATGTTTATTTGCGTTAAAAACTTTCACGCTGAATGTTTTCCTTTTGTATATAGCACAATCCTTTACTTTTCTTGCTTTGGTTTTGGATTTTATAGCTTTTGCTATGCGCTTTGTAAAATAGATTTCTGCTTACTACAGTCTGCATCATTATTGTCTCTGCTGTTAGTTGTGCTGTGCTGCTACTTACCTACAAGGCTACAAGTTTCATTGAACCTGGTCAAAACCTTAGCTCATACTGCTATTTCCTTTCATTATGTTTTCCATGTATTACCGTTTCTGTAGCCTTCTAAAGCCACTGCTGTCCCTCTAAAGTGGAAATTCCAACTTTCTTGCTGTTGTTTTTTCAGGGACGGTTTGAAATTCTATCTTTATCTGGTTCATTCATGCCAAATGAAAGTGGTGGAACACGGACCAGATCTGGTGGCATGAGTGTTTCTTTAGCAAGTCCAGATGGACGTGTTGTAGGAGGTGGAGTAGCTGGTCTATTGGTGGCTGCAAGTCCTGTGCAGGTATCTTTGTACTTCCAAATTTATTCCCTTTTCCTTTTTCACCTGGGTAGGGAATAATAGGTCCAAAATCTGTAAAAGGCATTCTTCACATGCTAAACACCAATTAGCGGTATGCTTGTGTAGTTTATCTTGGATGAATAAAGTTGATGATCCAGCGTCTAGTAACATGTATTAGCCAGTAATTACTATTATTGGATGACAAGTTTATGCAATTCTGATCACTCTTTACAATGGATTGATATGTATCAGGTAGTGGTAGGCAGTTTTCTGGCAGGTAACCAACATGAACAGAAGCAAAAAAAAACCCAAACATGAGGTAATATCAATAGCAACACCTAACACCAACACCAACTGTAGCTGATCCAATACCTAATCTCTCATCTTCTTCTTCCTTCCGCGTAGATAATCTGTCTGCGCAATGGCAGTGGCAGCGGATGTCAGGAATAACCCAACTGACATTAATGTGTCACTTCCTGGAGGTAAATTCATAGGGCTTCACTCTCCAAAAATTTTTTTGTAAGGCTTCATCACATTTGGATACATATTTGGTAGACCATGTTGTAATGGGATTCCTAATTGTTGGGTCTTTTTCCCTTGTTCGTTGTCTTGTAAGCTTATAGACAGTGTCCTGGAACCAACATGTTTTCAGAGCTTTTATTTTTACTGGGTTCCTATCCATTTAGAATTGAGGTATAGCTAATTGGACATGCTTCCGATGCCCATGTTGTGTCATGTAAGATGTTTTGATGTAATTGTTTTTCCCGAAAAGTCCACCTTTATTCTGAGTGAGATTGTGAAATCCTCGGGGCCGTTTGAATACTGCTTTTAAAAATAGTTTTTTGATTTAAAAAAAAAAATACTTGTTCCATGAGACCTGATTTTTAAAAATAGTTCTACAAATATAATTATAATTTTTTTGTTTTGTGTTTTGATTTTTAATTTTTTTAATATATATATATATATATATATATATATATATATATATCGGAAAACTATTTCTTCTTTAACATGAGAATTGTTTTCTCATGTTAGTGAGAGATTGCTTTGCGTGTAATATTTGTTTATTTTTTATTTTTTATTTTTTATTTTTTATTTTTTATTTTTTATTTTTTGTGGGATCCATTTAAATTATGTATGTGTAGGAATTTTTCTAACCTCATGTTAAATGAGAAATGTAAAGCCCTATATATATATATATATATATATATATATATATATATAATCACATATATCATTAACTATTTTATAAAACAATTTTAAAAACAAAAAACATAAACCACAATCAAGCTACTATAACAATCACTAATCACATATTTCATTAACTATTTTATAAAACAATTTTAAAAACAAAAAACATAAACCACAATCAAGCTACTATAACAATCACTAATTTGAGACTGATTTCCATAATTTTCCCATTAATTACTACCACTGTAGGTGTTAGTCGTCCCACAAAAAATACAAAATTATTCATGTATTTTACTCAATAGATTGTACTATTAAAAATGTTAGTTATTAATACGGCATTAGAGTCTCTACAATCAAATTATAAAGAATTTGATTTTATTACTTTCGTTCAAAATACTACATATCCAAAAGCATTGAGGGGATGCTAGGCTTAAGTTTTTAAGAGTTGATCCTTGACTTGGTGGTTGAGTGTAGACGAAAAAGGTCAAAATGTTAACAACAGTTCTTTATTAAAAAAAAATGTATAATCTTTTGTACCCAAACAATATATATATATATATATATATATATATATAGAGGTAGGATCCTTTGACACCGGTGTCAAATTTCAAATTTGACACCTCACTTCAGAGCCGTTAGATAAAAAAAAATCAACGACTCTAATTTGTAAGCATGTGACACTATTGATCTTTTTTGATCTGACGGCTATAAGATAAGGTGTCAAAGTATCCTACCTCATATATATATATATATATATATATATATATATATATATATATATCTTAACTGCTTTTGCATAATTTGACATTTTGACTTATCATCTATCGCAGAATTTGGCATGGTAATGTTAGCCATAATCACAATGTAAGATTCTTAAACAGTTGTCAACCAAAGTAGTGACTTGCCTTATGAACCATGGATGTCATGGAAAATGAGAAATAAAAATTATGTTAGCGTTTTATTTAAATTACTGACAAAATAATTGTTCAAGCAGAGTTAGCCATAAAGGTGCTGCATTTATACCCACGTTTTTATTTATTTATTTATTTTTTAGGAATACTTCATAAGTTGTTAGAGTATTTAATTTTTTTATTAAATATATTTAGTAATCAATAAATTTGAGTATGGTAATTATTCTCACAAATTGAATAATTGTTTAATTTTTTTCCTTTTCCTGACTTAGTAGGAAGCAAATGATGATTTTAATTTTTTCTTTGTTGAACAATAATGCTTCTATTTATTTTATTTCATTTTCTTAATACATAAATATAGTGCTTTTATTATCATTATTATCAACAATGATATGTAGTACATTATTTCCTTCTTAGGTAATAAAAATTATATAATAATCTATCTTTTTCGTTTTATTTCTTTTTTTCAATACAACAATAGGTATAAAAAAATCGTATGTAAAAATCTTTCCCCATTATTATTTTGATTATAGTAAAGTCTTCTACGAGAATCTAGGTTTGTCTTGTAGCTACGACTATATCCTTTGTGCATGTCTTAAAACAGCACAGATGTGCCGTGAAGCTAGGTTTGACATTTCAAGTTTGGATTAGTTTAAGGAGGTGTTTGGTTCAAGTTTTCTTAGAGGATGAGTAGGCATTACATATTAAGATTTTGTGTGATCCATGTTTGGTTCAAGCTTTTTAAGAATATTGGTAGCAAACCAAGTGCCTAGACTTTTAGAATTGTTTGGAAAAAGTGATCTAATGCACTATGCCAAAATACTACTTTGGAGATGGTATTGCAAGATGAATGGCTAAATGGAGAAGTGGAAAACAAAAGCATGACAAAAATACCCTCATAATTTGGAGGAGAGTGAATTTGGAGGAGAGATGTAAACATTCAAAAATTTAAAAGGGATTAATTTGGTAATCTTACCTCATTTCTCCATTAATATTTTACCTTCAACCAAATATAGACTTATAAAATTTTATCTAATTTTTCCGGTAAAATTTTTGCCAACCAAACAACTTTTTTTTAATTTTCCTACCAAACTTCATTTTCCACTATATCTCTAGTAATTATATTTCCCTAGTAAAAAAAAAAAATTTCCTCTACCAAACGCCCCCTAACTTCTCAAGAAAAGAAAAAAAGGGAAAAGGAAAAAAGGTAAAAAGAAGAAGAATTACCAACACCATGGGCCATTGTCCTGTCTAGAATTAACGGGAGCTACTAATGAGTGACGCGAACCTCGTGCATATAATATTATAACCAGTAAATAATTAATCTAATTTACCAAGAACATCAAAGGGTAAAAGCTTGTTCCCCTTAATTTGCCAAAAAGAGAAAACAAAATAATTTTGTAGACAAAACCAATATGAATACATTACTCAAAAATTATTTTTTTGGACACTGGCACGTATTAGCCTTTAAACCATGCAAATTACCCAAATCACTCGTGTGTCACCTCTACCTCCTTTTAATTCCTTTACTCATATGCATGTAAGGCATGAATTAAACAAGCACAAAACCTACAGGCTGTGAAACTGCTTGCAGTATATTGATATAGATATCACGCAGTTCAACAATCAACACTAGCCTGTAACTCACCCTTATAAGTACAAGTCAGTCATGAAACTGTCGCATATGGGAAGGAATTAGCTGCTCTCAACCACACACGTCTGGGAGTTTGCTGCACCGGTTACTTTCAGTAAGCACTCCAAAAAAACAAGCAAGCATCTCCAATTATCCATAATGGTCATCCAGTGATGTGTATATCATCCTACAGTAAAATGAACAATTAGAAATAAAAACATCTATTTTAATGAAATCCATAAAATTGACAGACAATTAGGCCTTTGGAAAATCACCGTACCAAAATACAGAGAGGAAAAGGGTAATAACAAGATAGAAGAGTTTGACAAGCCGTTGCTTCTTTTCCCAAGAGAGCTGGTTGAATATCTCAGTAACATCAACCAAATGCTTTCTTTGTCTATACCTGATCAAAGGAATAAAATATACAATAGCAGGACCATATTAAGCACATTCCAAAACATTCAGATATCAAGCATTATTATTGCAAAAAAAACATGAAAGAAACAATTCATCTTCCATGATCCTTGAACTAGTAAGCAACCATCAACCAAGCAATGGACAACTAGTGCCAGACTGGAACGGCTATAATAGGGCAGCTGTGAGAAATTTAAACAAAAGCTATTTGACTATGTTGATGCAAAATTAATCCCGAACTTTCCAACAGGTTTGAGCTTGGATAATGATATTTTGTGTACATATGCACCTACATATATACTGTTTGGTTCAACCTGAAGCTCCAAACAGTCAACCAGATTACCAGACCATAGTTTTTTTTTTTTTTTTTGGTGTATGTCAAACCAAGTCAAACTAAATTACGGAAAGAAAAAACTGAACAAAACTTCAATACAGCAAAAAGAAAAAAAGGGTTATATTTATCTTATGTTGCATAAGACAAACAAGCTTCCTACACACACAAAGTGGAGGTGAGTCCCACATCTATTTTTCTCTCTCTCTTCTTACATGTGGGTCCCACTTATAATTTTATTTCTATAACATGAGATTACCATTTCCCTACAACATAAGATACATATAACCCAAAGAAAAAAATGGTTCAATTGGTTTGGTTTGGATCTCTGAACATTCCTGCACTCAAACTAAAACACAGAAGAATGCAAAGACCCAAAATTCAAATTCAAACTCTCTTCTCTCACCCAAACAACGGAACAGACATGTATAATTTCCCCTTAAAGAGGTTTTCTAGGAATAAAACATTTAGTAATCAGTATAAGAAATGTAGCCTACTTAGCAACTCCATGAATGCCAAAACCAAAACATAGGTTACTGCGATCAAATTGACCTGACTAATGTACCATCAGCAAATTACTTTTTTGCCAGGCTATCCTGCCACTCTCACACTAGTGTGCAAATCACTTAAATATTCCTTAAAAACAAAAAATTCAAGCATCTGTTTCATTAAGAAACAACAAACTTGCCTAGGTTATTTGTAGAATTGATATAAAACTTACAATCTGACATTGAAGTAGAGATAAGGAGAACAGAACAGTGCCATCATCCAATGCCCGGTGATAAGATAGAAGCAGCACAGGACAGCTTGTGTAATAAACTCAGGCATCGCCACCATATTTATTCGAGACGTGGAGTCATAAGAATTTATATAATCAAATTCTAGATCTGCCAGGCACATCAGCTGCAACAAATGTTGAAACAAGTCAGCATATGTTTGATGATATGATACCAAAAGAGGATAGGTTGACAGTGTACAAAAAGCAACAAGGTCAATTTGATTTGCAAGTATTGTGCAGAACAAAACAATTAACCATCTATCTCTGAAGCAACAATTAACCATTCGTTTCTCAATTACGTAAAAATGCTTACAAATTAAGATTTGACACCAAATTGTGGAGGAATGAAAGGAAATGTTTAGAATGAAGAAGAATATATAAAAGGAAAGAGAAAAAGAAAAACCTGGTAAGTGACGAGGACGAGTAAGGCAATAAGGATGAAGAAGGAGATGAGCCACGCAAATAGATCAGCCATGCTCAACTCTCTTCTTCTTCCCTCTTCCCTCTTCCCTCTTCCTTCCGATTTCAATTACCGCTTCCCATTATCACAAACATAGTGTGCCTTACAGCACCGTGTTGTAGATATCTACGCCGCGCCCTACGCGCAACACCACTCACTCGGACATCAACCCTTTTTTTATGCCTGATTCATTGACAGTAGTGCACATTAATTAACTTCTGTTTTAGATTAAAAAAAAAGTCATTTACTTTTTTTAAAAAAAAAATTTATTATTATTATGGATTTATCTTATACACATGAGTAGAGTGTAAATGAGTCACACAACTTGTCAAACTTGGTCTACTTTCGAGTTCATGAAAAGGGTTGTTTACAAACAAATCAAGCCTAATGACACATTTTTCTTCTCCTCTTTAATAATAAAAATGTTCTTGTCACATGCACATTAACCGATGCAAAATACCAATTAATTGTAAGGGTTAATTAATTGCCTCACATAAGAAGAGTTCACATTTTCCTTCTTATCAAATTAATTACCTGATTTATACCCAAAATAAAATAAAATTATTGCCTCATTAGTGAATTAAATGTCATTTGAAAAATATTAAACATTTTTTATAATTCACCATAAACATTCGACATTGATGAATCACATAAATCTATCACAAAGCTCACGAGTAGAGTTCATATTTTTTAAATACACGCGCCCCAAATTTTCAAATTAGTTGTCTCTTTTAATATATTAGATGTCATTTAAAAACATTAAGAGACTGTAATATAATACTTGGAAAATATAAATTCAAGTATACTATTTTGATTTTTTATCTAAATAATTCTATAATTCAATGAAAATAGGTCCTTAACATTAACTAACTTCCTTGTAGCAAGGTTGGCAAGTCTTACATATGGTATGACCTTTTGCTCATTGCAATCAGTCCAAACTAGAAAATCCATAAAATCATTCTCATCATTTTTTTTATTTTTGTGGTTCTTAAGGGGTTTCTTCTTTGTAAAACCCAAGACAAATCTCAGCACTGACAATAAAGCAAATGTGCAGATTTTCTTCAGACGCAACGCAAGCTGAGTTGTTGTTATCCCAATTCCATGAATCTATCTCTCCTCAAATCCCAAAGCCATTCACCCTTTCACCACCGCTATGTCTTTTGGGTCAACCCGCAAGGTCAACATTCTGCAAAACAAGGTCTCATGCATCGTTTTCTTGTTCACTGCAAAGCTTGGCTTTTCTCACAAAGACTCAATTCCAATCCTTTGTTAGAACCCTACAGTCTGACAATGGAACTGAATATATGAACTCTACCTTCACTGAATATCTCACTTCCCATGGCATTAAACACCAGTCTTCCTGCCCTTACACACCCCAACAAAATGGCCTTGCCGAACGTAAAAACCGACACCTTCTTGAAGTTGTTCGGGCATCCTTATTCGAAATGAATGTACCCAGATATTATTGGGGTGAGGCAGTCGTATCTGCTGCCTATTTGATTAACAGAAGTCCTTCTCGTGCACTAAACTTTCTGACCCCTTTACAGAAACTCGAATCATTTTTTTCAATTCCCCACTACACCAACCTTGAACCTCGTGTGTTTGGCTGTGTTGCTTATGTTCATATACCTAAAACCCTTAGGAATAAATTGGACCCGTGTGTTAAGAAATGCGTTTTTGTTGGTTACTCACCTGTTCAAAAAGGGTATAGATGTTATGACCCTTCTCTTAGAAAAATACATGTTACTCTTGATGTTTCCTTTAGAGAATCCGAACCATTCTATTCAGGGGGAGATTTGTCTCCTTCTCCTCAGGGGGAGATTGATTGTGGAGGAGAAGTGTCTGTCCAAATCCAGAGAAACTTACAAAATAGTCAGCCCCCTACCTTTGGACTCAATGACACAGAACAAGAGAACTCAATTCCTCAAGACTCATCAACCTTAATACCCACAGCTGAGCAACCCTCTCTGGATGTCCAAACCACTGCGCAACCGATGGAAACTGAGGTAATTTCTGACCCAAACACTTGTGCATTTCATCCTTCTAGTCCCATACAGCCTGCTCCTAGTTTAAGGAGGTCAGAAAGAACTACAAAAGGTATTCCAAAAAAATTATATGAACCTGATCCACATTCCACAGTAAAATATCCAATTGGAAATTATGTGTCAACAAGGAAGCTATCCAAATCATATGCATTAGCTACTAACCAATTATCTAGTATATGTATTCCTACAAGTGTGCAGGATGCAATGGCTGACCCCGAATGGAAGAAGGCTATGGAGATTGAAATGGAAGCCCTTGTAAAAAATTCTACTTGGGATATAGTCCAACTACCTACTGGAAAAAGGAGTATAGGATGCAAATGGGTTTTTAACTTGAAGCTCAAGTCAAATGGCAGCTTGGATAGATATAAAGCAAGGTTGGTAGCAAAGGGGTACACTCAAAAGCTTGGAATTGACTACCAGGAAACTTTTGCTCCCGTAGCCAAATTAAATACCATCAGAATTCTTATATCCATAGCAGCTCATAAAGATTGGCCCTTAAAACAATTTGACGTGAAGAATGTCTTCCTTAACGGAGACTTGGAAGAAGAAGTCTACATGGATATTCCTCCAGGCATGAGTTGCGGTCCCTTGAAAGAAACCTTGGTATGCAAATTGAAAAAAGCTCTGTATGGACTGAAGCAGTCCCCAAGAGCCTGGTTTGGGAGGTTCTCACTTGCTATGAAGAAATTTGGATACAAACAGAGCAACTCTGATCACACCATGTTTATCAAACGGCAGAACAGCAAGGTATCAATATTAATTGTGTATGTTGATGATATTGTGTTGACTGGTGATGATATAGAAGAGATGCAAGCCTTGGAAGGACAGCTAGCAAGAGGATTCGAAATGAAAAACTTGGGGCAGTTGAAGTATTTTTTAGGCATTGAAGTAGCCAAATCTGATCAAGGTATATGCTTATCTCAAAGAAAATATACTCTTAACTTATTGAATGAAACTGGTATGTTAGCTTGTAAACCAGTAGACACTCCAATAGAAATGAATCACACTCTTGCTATTTATCTGGCCAGAATCCAACTGACATTTGTAAGTACCAAAGACTGGTTGGAAAGCTTATATATCTTTCACATACTAGACCTGACATTTCCTATGCAGTTAGTGTAGTGAGTAGGTTCATGCACTCTCCAAGTGATGCACACATGGATGCTGTTTATAGAATTCTAAGATACTTGAAAGGGACTCCTGGAAAAGGGTTGTTGTTTGCTAAAAACCGAGAAATATCTATTGAGGGGTATACTGATTCTGACTGGGCAGGAGATAAAACCACAAGACAATCAACATCCGGATATTTTACTTTTGTGGGAGGAAACTTGGTGACTTGGAGGAGTAAGAAACAAAAAGTTGTAGCAAGGTCAAGTGCTGAAGCAGAATTCAGAGGAGTGGCTCATGGGATATGTGAACTATTGTGGATAAGAGATATTCTTGAAGATATTGGAATCAATCGTGATGAACCAATGAAACTTTTTTGTGACAACAAAGCTGCCATTGAAATAGCTCACAATCCTGTACAACATGATAGAACCAAGCATGTGGAGGTAGATAGACACTTCATCAAGGAGAAATTAGAGCAAAAAATCATACAACTTCCATTTGTCAAATCTGAAGAACAGGTGGCTGATGTCCTAACTAAAGCTGTATCAAGCAAAGCTTTCGGAAAAATAATTAACAAGCTGGGCATGATAAATATTCATGCACCAACTTGAGGGGGAGTGTTGAAGAATAGATTTGTTAATTGTATTTTAAATGTTTGTTGTAATCTGTTGCTATCTAATAGAGATAAGGAACATAGGATTTGGTTAGTAAAATTGATGTTAGGTTGTTAGAGCTGTTTGTATCTTCTGTTAGTTGTTTATATTTTTTGTTTCTTAAAATTAGGAGTAGTTATTTTATTTCACTATATATAATTCTCTCAAGGCTGAGGATGAATAATCATCAATGAATGAGAATTCAGCAATATCCATCGTATTCCTAATTTTTGACTGACCAAAAAAGTCGCGATTTTGAAGAACGAATTGGTTCGGGTGCATATAGAAGAATAAGACAAACCTATGTGTGAAATATATTTTAAAAAAGTCTCGATAGGAATGTTTGAGACCTAGAAGTCTCGAATAAGATAAACCAAACTATAAATTGGTTCGGGTGCATATATTTTAAAAAAGTCTCAAATATAGTAAAATAGATAAATCTATATGTGAAATAAAATTAAAAAATGCAAACAAAAGAATAAGCACGGAAAGTATTAAACATACTATAACTAATGAAAAAGATTTTAATTTTCATAGAAAAATTAAGTAAATTAGGATTAATAAGAAAATTTGATAGTCGACATAGATCTACTACTTTTATAGTAAGAAAACATAGTAAAATTGTAAGAGGAAAAAGTAGAATGGTAATTAATTATAAAAGATTAAATCATAATACTATAGAAGATGCTTAAAATGTCAAGATAAAGATAGTTTAATCTCTCATATATAAGATTGTAAATTTTTTAGTATTTGATTGTAAAAGTGGGCCTCGCCATTTAAGTTAAAAGAAGAAAGTACAGAGTGAGCAGCATTTAATGTACCAATTACGACACCTTTAGAACATTTTGAAGGCTCTTTTGATCCAAAAGGGGTTTTTACTCTTTTAATGTACCAATTTGGTATTTGATTTTTGATATTTATTAATAGGGATCATCTAGTGTCGTGAGGGACCCGGCGGCTGAGTGTTGCCCTCCTCCCCCTCCGACACTCACACGATTGTGTCAAGTGACACAATTTTGTTAGTCTCGTTATCGTAAACATCGGAAGATCGTAACTTTTGACTCAGATATTCAAATTAGATAAAAAAAATTGATTTCATATAAATTTTCGCGATCTACGAATGACATTTCATTTGACATATTTTATCTTCCATAAATATAGTTCAAATTTGCAACAATAGTTTCACAATCACAAGAGCGTTTAGATTCAAATTCAAATTTGCAACAATAGTTTTATCTGTTAGAGTTGCGGCAGCACCTGTGCGAGACAATAATTAATTTGTTTTTGTGAAGAAAACAAAACGAAAAAAAAGTTGGAGCAAAAATGAGATGTCATTGCGTAGATCTCAAAAAATTATGTAAAAAAAAAATATCTGATTTAGATACCTGAGTCAAAAGTACGACCTTCTGAAGTTTTACGGTAGCCGAATTAACGAAATTGTACCATTTCGCACAATCATGTGAGTGTCGCGGGGGCAGAGAGGCGACACTCAGTGTCACTGGGGGCCCCACGACACAAAACGACCCCTATTAGTAAATATCATGAATCAAATACCAAATTGGTACATTAAAAATTTTAAAACCCTCAATTGGTCAAAGAGCCCATTTTGAATGGCTAGTAATGCCTTCAGGACTTAAAAATGCACCTAGTATATATGAGAGAGAATTTGATGAAATCCTCTTAAAAAATATAAAGATTTATGTATTATATATACTGATGATATTCTTGTTTATAGTAAAAATATAAAAGAAAATATAGGACATTTGCATGTAATATTTTCTGAGTTTGTTAAACATGGTATTATAATCAGTAAAAAGAGAATGGAGTTAGGAAAAACTTATGTAAAATATTTATAATTAGAATTAGGAGAAGGTACTGTAAAATTACAACCTCTTATTTCCTAGAAAATTGTAGATTTTCCTGAAGATTTAAAAGACTTAAAACGTTACAAAGATTTCTAGGATTATGTAATTATGTTAGAAATTTTATAAAAGACTTTAGCAAATATTTAGGACCTTTATATAGTAAAGCATCAATAAAAGGACAAAGATATTTTAATAATGAAAATAAAAAATTAATAAGACATAAAAGAATTAGTTAAAGATTTACCACCATTAGCACCTCCACTAACTACTGATTATAATATAGGAGTAACATATGGATCTGAATTAAGATGGAGAGTTGAATTAAGAGAGAAACCTAATAAATATTATGAAAAACAAACTAAATATGTAGATATGTTAGTGAAAAACATAAAGTAAAAAATTTAAGTACTATAGATTATGAAATTGAAGCAGTTATTAGCTTTATTTATACAATGGCTTGGCAAATACATTGACATAGCAAAGATGAAAGTGTTGTATAACAGAGGAACGAACATTGTCGGAGGAAATGCAAAACCAAATGTCATTTGCTGCCTACAAAGAAGAGGTAGGAGGCTTCGAGCGGAGAAAGAAATTCCTTGACACCAAGTTCTTCAACTTCTCATTTGACTTCAAACCTGCTCCATCTCAATAATAACAATTATTATTTGTCCCTCATGTTAAAAAATAAATAAATAAAAAGGAGAAATTAAGAATATTGACATTCCAAAGGATCAAGGCAAGGATTAAGGTAAATCACTTACTTTGGAGGCTGTAGGGAGAATAATGAAGGTCGTAGCACTTTGGATCAGTGTGCTTCAATAGTGGCCTCCTCTTCTCCTTATCATAAATTCCCAACGCTGCCTTCACCAAATCGGCAACGGTGTCTTCAGGCTGCATCAGGACCTGTATTGCACCCAAGCTGTTCTCTATATTCACATTCAGTAGCAGTTTCGGTGGCTGATGAAGAGAGTCACCACCAGTTTCCATGTGGGTCCGAGGAGTGGAGACAAATCCACCCATTCTGCGAACGAGGACAGAGCCAGGAAACTCTCTGAGTTCAATTCCTGCATTCAAAGTTTCAAGAATTAGTCCTTCTTTTATTTTATTCTATTTTATTTTATTTTTTTTCTCTTGTATTGCTTAGAGATAAGATATTTGCCTGCATGTAATGAAGTTGGAGCTTGAGAAGGGAAAGTATGGATGGGGCGGGTGCAGGGGAAACCGAAAACTGGTTTAAATGCGGTACTGTTGAAGCCTCTCAGAGGGACGTTTGGTTCAAGAAAATTTTTTGGAATAGTAGAGAAATGAGATAGATAGAGAAATGATTGGAAAGATAGATAAAGTGAGATAGGTAGAAAAATGTAAAAAAAAGTTGTTTGGTGGGGAAAAATTATGTAGCTTTATGAAATCAACAGTGCATTAAAAGCCAGATAACCGGTTTTCCGAAAAATCTCACCTTCAAATTGGGTTTCTAAACAGTGCGGATATCTATGTTTCTCATAAATCCAGACAAATTGGATAGATGGATTTTTGGTGAAAAATGTTGAAACAAACATGGTGTTTCTAAAAGCCATACTTGAAAAAGATAGATATCCGCTGAAAAGCTCCCAACTAAACACCACCTCAAAGATTGAGCAGTGGCGAAGGGAAGCTTCTTGGAAAGTGCTGGAATTTTTAACTTTTGTTTAGATTTTGGGAAAGTTTCTTCACTCGGGGCATCACTTATTCGCTTGAAAAAATATCCCCGTTTTGCCCAATTGTTTATGATTAATAATTTAGTACTGCATTAAATGCCGTTTCTTTTTTATTTTACTAAAAGAGTATATTCTAATGAAGAATTCAAAGCATTTGTTGTTTTCTTATTTGAATAACTGAAATCATTTATGATATTAAATGATTCCTCTAAGTAGTTCTCTTAAAATAATTATTAGCACAATAAATGTTTTTTGTAATTTTCTTCCTTACAAAAATATTAAATATTTTTTAGTACTCAAGACATCAAAAACAATTTATTCAATTATAATTCCTGTTTAAAATAAATATAAAAATGTTATAAAAATTAGTCATTGAATAAATAATTAAATTGTTTATTTTCAAGTAATTACGAGTATTATTGGGGTGATTTATTACGAAGATAATATATATATATATATATATATATATATATATTATTTCTCTATTACACTATTATATACATATATATAACACTAATATATTAAATATTGGACTAAGGTCATCATTTAGTGTGTTGTGATTCGCTGTCCAAAAATACTTAATTCATAGGTATCTAGAGAAAAAGTATCAGATTCAACATCAATCATCTAACTTCCAATTAGACATATCTCCCTCACTCAAAACAAAAGTATATAAAAATTTCTTAACTAGTACGTTTTAGAAAAAAAATCTTGCGATGTCTACTTGAGGTGAAAACTTCGGTCAAAAATTACCAAAGTAGAAAAGTCTTCGTAGTTGATTTTATCATTTTAGACAATACCTCCTTTAACTTTCTTACTAGAGACTATGGTTTATAAAATATTGACAAAACATATAACTAATTATATTATTTATGCTTTGTTTAAGTTATTTTGATTTTAATTTTGAAATAATTAATTTTATTATCAATAAATATTTATAATAAATAAAAAATTCAATATATATTTGAATTCATTTATTTTATTTATTTTGATAACATGAATTCATTTATTTTACTTAAGAGAATTCTTAAAATAAAGATATTTCAAATAAACGTTTGGCTAAAAATATTTTTTAATTCAAAATAGATTGATATAATATTTATAATGAATTTCATTAATTTTGTAGGACAATTTTACTTATATATTAATTCATGTTTGATATTTTATTGATTAAAGTTATTAATTGCTTTAATATATATATATATATATATATATATATATATATATATGATCCTTTAATACCAGTGTCAAATTTAAAATTTGATACCTCATCTAAAAGTCATTAGATCAAAAAGATCAATATGTTATAAAAAAAAAAAAAAAATCAATAACTCTGATTTGATACAAACTAGAAAATAGTTAATTTGGTTGAAGAAACACCCATAAAAGAAGAATATGTACTCCAAAAGGGAGGTAATCAATAGGGGGGATTATCAAAAAGAACAATATTCTAGTCTTGGAAGAAGGGAGTGATCCACTGGCCAATCAATTACAATATTATTCTTTCTGAAAGGAAAATATTTTCGGTATTTTCGTTGTACGTGCATCATTTATTAAATATAAAAAAAAACATTTTTATACTACTCTCGTCTTTATAATTATTTTTATCTATATCTCACATTTTTTCTTTTTCAGTAAAGAAGTATGTACTCCTATTGTAACGAAAATCCTCTCCTCTAAGAGCATGTGTCACCTTCACTCTCCAAGGTCTATTGATCATCATTTGAATTTATGTTAACCAAGTTATAAATGGTTTATGGGCTTCACACCCATTCTTCACCAGGTTGATCATTGAGCCGAAATCACCTTCCAACCGAATGGCTGTAAAGCCTTTACTTCAAGCTAGTTCCAGTCCCACAAGAGCTCCTCAGAATTCAATCAAAGGAGAACCTCTTCCTAGAGATTTTGGGAATGGATCCTCTAATGTGAAAAAATAGTTATGTGATTATGTTATTTGATCACAATTACTCATTTAAAAATTATATACTTTTTTCTTTTTTATCTCATCATTAATAAGTGGTTGTGATCAAATAATATAACTAAATAATTATTTTTTCACATAAGAGGATCCACTCTTGAGATTTTAAAAAAAAAAATCATATGTCATCTCCATGGAATTACGAGGGATATCGGGAATCTAATTCGCAATTAAAATAATCTATGTTGAAACACGTCTCATTAAAAATTGACTGGAGTCAAGGTGAGAGCCATTATTATACATAATTTTACCATTTCATATTAATTCTTCTTTAAAAAAGAATTATAAAACTGATTCCTTTTAGGATGTATTATATTACATGAAAAACATTTTTTGGCCCGATGAGACATAAAAGAAGAGAGAGAAAGTAAGATGAAAAAATGGAAAAAAAATTATGGACCTCACATTTTTTGTTCCCTTCTTTTAATTTACTGCAAACACTGTCTTAGTAGTCAAATTCAAGGATTAAGAGCTCTTATGTTTGTTGTCTCTTTCTTTATTTTATTGAAGACACTGAAATCAAAAGAATACTCGGTAAGCTTTTTTCTTTTTTTTATATAGACAAAAGGCTTAAGCCAACACGAACAGAAAAGAAAACAACAACAAAAAGAGACTAAAGATTACACACCACATCACGTGGTCTACTAACAGAAGCTAAATCAGCCAGCAGCAAAAGCCTAATACCAGGAAGAGGATCCGACCAAATAATTTTAGAAGCCTGCACTTGATTATCTAAAATATAATTGGCCAACCAATCAGCACAAGAATTCTCTTCTCTACATGTATGCCTAAGAGACACAGACCAGTTCCTTTGAAGCCATATCCGTATACGAGAAATCAGATGACACTCACGGATTGTTACACCATTTTTGGTTAGCAGAGTGATTATACTAGAAGAATCACTTTCAAGAATTATATTACGGTAACCTGCAACCCAAGCTAACTCCAAACCCCTCAGCACACCCCATAATTCAGCTTTGAAAGAATTACAACACCCCAACCTATAAGCAAAACCACCCAACCACCATTAGCGTCTCTCATCACACCACCACACGCTGCAGAACCAGGATTACCACGAGCAGCCCCATCAGTGTTAACCTTAATCATTCCAGGAATAGGAAACTGCCAAGAAATATCAATGCTCATAATTCTTTTCTTAGCAAACCGATTTGAATGATTACAACCAGCAAAATTAATACTCATTAAGCTTTATTTGTTATGGATTTGGATCCTGTGAAAAAAAGATATGATATGATTATATAGGGAATCATAACCATACAAAAGTAGATCAATGATGATAAAAGAAGAGAGAGAAAATATTATAATAGGTAGTTACAAAAGCATAACCATTAATTTACCTTTATATGGTTATGATCTTCCGACATAATCATGTCATATTTTTTTTTTTACATAAGAGAATTTATTTCCATTTGTTTATACTTGTGCCCTCATATTGTCAATATATATGTAATTGTTTTGTGGGTTTGTGAGTGAGGATATAGGAGCAAGGCTGGAGGAAGGATAAATATTTTTTTGGAAAAATTGTATCTTTTTAAAGGATACAAATTTATGTCCTTTTAAAATATAGATAAACACAAAAAGGTATGAGTTCTACTGAAAAAAATAAAAATAAAAAATATAAAGATATAGATATTATCTCTTTGTGTCTATCTCTTTCTTAAAAGAATATAAATTTATGTCATTTTAAAGGATATATTTTTTTTTTCCATTTTTTAATGCTAAAATTTTATATTTCTTTAGGTGGTGGGTTTGTTTTTTTTTTTTTGCACTTCATTTTATTTTGAAACTTTTGGTTCCAAGCTTTCTTTTCTGGATCGGTCGCCTAGATCAATCTTGAACCGACAGGTAGGATTGTTCTAAGGCCCGCTCTAGGCCCAATATGTAATCCATTCCCTACTTCTCTAGCACATGTATCTCATGTCCTTATAAGTACAGTGTCTTACGTCATGTGGAGTCCATTTGACATGATAGGATAGAGAATCATGGGTTCTAAAACGAGACATTACTTAGAAGGATCCTTAGAAGAAAGAATAATATCAAATGAGTGAATTGAATAAGTGAAAAAAAAAGTCGATCTGATTTCCATATGTTATTTTTGAGGTTTAAATATTTTTATTTTTGACTCATTTTCGTATTTCGGATTAATTTTATAGTCAGCTCAAACAATCAAAATACCATAAGAGGGCGTTTGGTTGAAGGATTCTAACGAGATGCATAGACATTTGAGAAGTGGGATTAGTCAGTGCCCATGTTTGGTTGAAGCATTTTGAAGATATGTCCACCCAAATCATTTCCCAGCTTAACAAGTTGCATGTGTATCTGATCCAAAAACCTGGTGAAATTTTCCCATTTGCAATGTGGTATTGCATGTTATTTATGTAAATCATCACAATGGGCAAGATTCAGATGACGATCGTACCCTCCTGTAGGAGGGTGTCACGAGAAGAACTCAAAAAGGAGAAAGAGAAGAGTAACAAATAATTCTCCACTTGGAAGTTTTTGTATAGAAAAGGTGGAGCGTGTTGTGAGACTCAAACAGAATCACGAAGAAGACAAGGCTGCTAAGACCCAAGAGTTTTTAGTTCTTGGAGGGCAGACCTTAACTGCTTTGAGGGACAAGATCATGGTTGTTGAATCGCAATACGTATCGTGAATCGTTCGGCTGCTTTTTTGTATCATGAATCGTGAATCGTATCGAATCGTAAGATTCAAAAACAAATTAAAAATAACTTAATTAAAAATATATAATATCATATAAATTCAAATTAAAAAAAAAATCTAAATACCAAAATCCATAAGTAACCCATTTCAAAAGCCTGGTTGTTCATATATATTTCATATCCATTCAATATCCAACAACAATTCAAATCAAGGACCAAGGCCAACTTCAGGGCTATAAAAAAAATAGATGCCAATCAATACACACCTAGTCCAACCTGATTTGAAATGTGTACGTGTCTTATAAATAGAAACAATAATCTATTTATAAGACACATCCTCTCATGCATTTTAAATTGAGAACACATTGCAGCTTTTTCATAATATTATAATAATATATTAATATATGTATTCCTCTGATCCTCCCATCACTATAATATTTAAATTTATTTACAATTTACAAATTCCAATCACAAACCCATTTCAAAAATAGTACCCGTCTGTTTCAAAACAAAAAAAAAATAGTACCCGTACGGCCGTTTTCCTCTGCAAGTCTTCTTTTGCACGTTCTCCTCTGCAAGTCTTCTTCGTCTTCTTCTACACGCTCTTCTCCTCTGCAAGTCTTCTTCTACACATAGTCTCTCCTCTGAAATTTCTGTTTCGCTGCTTCTTGTTTTTTAATTTCTGTTTCAATTTCGTTGTTTCGTTGCTTTTTCAATTTCTGAAATTTCTGTTTCGCTCCTTTTGTTTTTTAAATGGGATTTTGAATCCCTGATTTTTCTGAAGCAACCTTTCATATAACAAGTAACCACATGCCGTTCCAAGCGACTGTTGAGTTTTTTTTTTGTTTTTTTTTTATATTTTGAATCGCAAATGTAATTTCGATTCACGATTCGGTTGCGAATCGTTCGATTCTACGATTCCAACCCACGATTCATACCAAAAACGATTCATTATTTTGATCTGTATCGATTTGGGTTAGTATCGTATCGTATCGCGTATCGTGCGGTACTAACAACCATGGACAAGATCTATTGCTCAATGGACCAGGCGATGGAAAAAGCTCGGCAGCATAATCCTTCTGGTTATTTTCTCATTGAAAATGTATTCTACACTGATTTGAGGGATCCATCTGCTATTGATTTGACCAGTCCTATACTGGATTGGCTTCGAAACTCAAAGGAGGAGGAGGCACAAAAGAAATGGGAATAGGGTTATTTTCATAATTGTCACTTTTTTCCCATCTATATTTTATCTACACTCAAACATAGACTTTATAAAAGTTAACTAATTTTCCCATCCAAATTTTTCCAACCAAATAACTTTTTTTACATTTTCATACCTAACATAATCCTCCAACCATTTGCCTATGCATAGCATTTCTCTATTATTCATAAAATTTCTCCTCAACCAAACGCTCCATGAGAGCTAACTCGACTCAAAAAAATAATTAGAGTTAGGTTAATTCAAAAAAAAAAAAAAAAAATTTCTTCCTCATTCCCTTTGTTTCCTTTATAAGTAATCCCTCCTTATGAGAGAAGCTTCCTCATTCCCTTTGTTTCCTTTATAAGTAATCCCTCCTTATGAGAGAAGGGACATCCAAATCTCCAGATTACGTAGTCATTACTCTGCTTCTCCATAACTTTAATCACAGTTTTTCTCCGTTGAGCTCAGCCTTCAGCCTTGGTTGAGTTCCACCACACATAAACCCCATAAAAATTCTAATTTTCTCAGTCACTATTACATTGAAACATTGTTCCGCCCCTGAGAAAGATTCAGCCGCATCATCACTCATCATTAATATAATATCCTTAAACTGAACACTTTCCTTGCTTTGCCAACATATGTGTCTCGCACGGAAAGGTTTGTGACGGTTTGGTCTATTAATTTCCATATCTATTTTCCGCTTGAATATATGTAATATTTTATAGCTTTTGTAATGACCTTAGATTCTGACACCAAAGGGGTAGTTGCTGTAGTTAGCAAACTTTTGGTACATTTAATGTGTTGGGCCGTGGAAGGAGAGTTTACCATGCGAAGAGATATTTAATCATGGACCAAATGAGTAATAATATTAAGTGAATTTAGAATATTATAATCAAATCCAAAATCTTAAAGCATTAGGTACATGAATTCTTCTACTTATATGATGCAGGGAGAGCTCATGGCGAAAAGAGACGGCCAATCATGGTGATGGGTCAAACGAACAATAACATTAAGTTGGCTTGAAATACCACAATCAAATCCAAAACCTTAACGCATTAAGTGCATGGATCCTTCCACTTATATGGTACTCACTTAGTCTATTTTTGACAAATGTAAAACTTTTTCTCCCAATCATTCACATTTAGATTTCTCAACATGATGTACCTACTTTTTTACTAAAAGGGATAATTTTTTTCCCATTTTAACCCTTATTTTTTTTATTCCCTTAATTTTATGTCCCAAAATCCTTTTCCATTTAGTAAATAGATGTATGGAGTTTGGTACATCTGTTGTATTTAAAAAAAAATTGTAGTTGCTGGTTGTTATAAATGTTGAAAGGAGACACAAACTAACGTATTACAAAACTAAAACAAAACACTCCCCGTTAAACCAGTGGCGGAGCCGGGCTTCAACTGAAGCCCGGGCCAAAAAATTTAATGTATATTTATTTTTTAAGTAAATATTATTTTCGGTCCTAAAAAATTTTACGATACTCATTTTAGTTCCTAGCAAATAAAAAGATTATTTGTGGTCCTTAAGAAATTCAAAGTGGATCCATTTTAGTTCTTTTGAGGGACTAATGTGAATCTTTTTTGAATTTATGAGGGACCACGATTTCAACTAAATGGGTCCATTTTGAATTTCTTAGGGACCACGAATAGCCTTTTTATTTGCTAGGGACTAAAGCGGACATCATGAAATTTGCTGAGGATTAAAAATGGTATTTACTCTTATATTTTTTAATTTTAGTTAGTTCATATCATAATATATTTAAATTATATTAAATATAAAACACTTGAGCAGGAAGCATCAAAAGAATTATAATTTTATTAAATATTTTTAAATTTTACTGAAAATATTTTAATTTTTTTATATAAATAGAAATGAAACACATAACTTAATATAACTTACCCAAATCTCTCATCAAATATATTTTAATTTTTTGATAGGGCCAAATTATAAATTTTTTTTTTTTTTTGTAAATTATAAATTTTAGCCCGGGCCAAATTACAATTTTAGACTGGGCCAAATTTTATAATTAATTATATAATTATACATAAGTACAATTTGTTAAAATTTAGTCCGGGCCGAGGCTACACCCATCAAGCACGTGGCTCTGCCACTGCGATAAATCCGACTAGGAAGTGAGGTGGAGGAAATCCTTGTACGCAGTCTTACCCTTGCATAAGCGAAAAAATGAAATAAAATCATTACTATTCTATTTCTGTTTTGTAACATGAATATCTGCACTTTCTTATTTTCATATTGCTCAGTTACTTCTTTTTTGTCACTGAGTTAAAAATGTGATCTTGTCTGGTCAATTCAACCATTAAGTAATGAACTGGTCTAAAAAATGGTGATTCGGTTTCAAAAGCGTTTGAATTGGTATTCAAAATTTTTCACTACCAACTTATTACCTATCTAATCACCATTAGATTAATATTTTCTCTCTCTTCAATTTTTTTTTAACATTCTCTCTCTTTGATCCAATGGTGATGTGATGGGTAGTAATAAGTTAGTAGTAAAAAATTTTGGTAGTTAGAATATCCTCACTCATTTATTATATATAAGAGATTACAATATCTTATAACTATTTTTATTATTGTTGAATCAAAATTAATAACAAAAATAAAAGTTGTTGATTTACTTTTAATCTAAAAATAACCATTTTAAGAATCTACAAAAAAGTTATAAATAAAACGATTAGTGTTTGTCCTTTTAGAAGACATAAAATTATATCATTTTAAGTAAGATAAAAAGATAAATAATGAAAATCATGGGAGAGAGTGAAATTTTTTTTAATTTAAATTTTAAATAAAAAATATTACGACAAATATTTTTTTCATAAATATAATATATCCCTTATTATATTGCTTTTATTATTATATATATTACAAAATCATTGATACACTGTTTGAATCAATGACACAATACCATTTAATAATACTGGTCCAAGTGTCTATATAATATATCATTATCTTCTTAGATTATCTTGAAGATGCATGTCTACATGAACACGAGCTTGACAAATTTGGTTAGGCGAATTCATTTCTGTGTTTGTTCAAAGTTCGAGTTCAAAAAATTAAAATAGTGCATGTCCTTTGAATTACTAAACCAATCTTGATTTGACGTCATCATCATTTTGCAAGCAAAATAGAATATTCACTGAAAAACTTACGAAGCCAATAACCATGTCTTTTGATTTACAATTTGAATGAATATATATAAATCGTACAGAAAAAGTGGAGATGAAGGGTTGAAACTTGAAAAGCAACTGATAAAAAATGGTTGCTTTTTTGTCATTGGTTAAAGTAGCCCAAAATACTGCGGGGTTTTTTGTTGTCCCTCATTGCGAGCAAACCACAATCTTCCAAAGCCTTTGAGCTCTTCTTACAATTTTGCTAATCTTCCGGGCAATAAAAGACTGAAGTAACAATGGAGGGGTTGCAATGGATGGAGCAGTGCTACTTGTGACTAATTCATGAGCACTTTCCGAATGAAATGAATTCGAAGTAGATGCACCATTACTCTTTTGCAGATAAAAATTTCTACTACCGACATCCCCAATGACTTCTGATTTGTCCAAACCTTGTAAGCAAAAGACGTAAGCCAGATAAATTAATAATACTGAAGAAGCCCACAATAAAAGCTGAAAAAGGGATCTTCCTATATAATAAGGGTACCACATCGATCGGTCAAATGTGTAACCATAAATAAAATTAATATTACTCAATCATGTTTCCATGTTTAGGCTTATGAATATAGAAATGTTGACAACTAGTTTTTCACTTACTTTGGAGACTGAAATAGGAGTAATGCAATTGGAATGAAGATGCATAAGGATCGATCTTAGGGCTCCTTCCTTCTTCGCTATATTTATCGACCACGTGCCTTATTGTCTCCTCCACACTGGAACCCAATTTAACCATCGTTCGGACTGGTCCTGGACTTCCTTCAACGCTCACATTAACTACCACCTTAGCTTCCTTGTCGTACCCCCTTATCTAACAAAATAAAAATAAAAATCAACAAGAGGAATGTGTGAGTTTTATTATAGAGAACTCATAGGATACATGTAATCAATTAATTGTCATTATTATTAGAGGTTGATAAGTTTAATAGTAATTAATTTTTTTATTTTTTTTTATAACAATAGTAATTAATTTTAAGTCATGCATAATATGGTAGCTTTTGGTCTGTATTGTTTTCTACCCCAGAATAAAGGTATACTATTTTTTTGTTTCCGTGTTTTGCTCTGTTTTATTTTTAAAACGCACTAAACATATAATAAACTCATAAATTATGTTGCATTTTGTCTTAGCATGTCTACCTACGTCATTACACCTAATATTTAAACCTTCACTTCTCGGTGTTACATAATATGGATAAAAAAAAAAAAAAAAACTTCCATTCACATCGTGGAATAATCAAACATCATAAATATGTTTTTAAAAAAATATTTGATTGATAAGGTGAAAAAATCTAGAATAAAAACTATTTTATATTTGCGTGGTCTAACATAATTGTGAGATAATTGAAAAAAAAAAAGTGTTCTAAATTTCCAAGGTCTCTCAAATTCTAGACAAAATTTTGTGCAATTAAAAAGAAGAGAAAGAGAGAGAATCATCTCACTTTAGTCTCACCCCTTATGAAACAGTATAATCTACTAAATAAGGATATTTCAGTTGAGCAGGTGAGGTGAGAATATGTATTCGATCATTTTAGTACTATTTTTTAGAGAGGTTTAAAGTCTTAATACCGAGACTCACCTCTAATCGAACTAATCGCAAAACGATTAACTGATTGGAATATCTCAACAAAAAATTTATAATTTTGGCCAAAACTCTTTAATAATTTAGAATCTTTCCAGTTTGGGAATGCATCATGAAATGAAGTCAGTTCAGCTATACCTAACTTCCTTTAGGGGGCGTTTGGTAGGTGATTTTTAAAGAGAATGATGGGTAAGTGAGATAGGTTTTTTAAGACAGCCTCGTTTGGTACAAGAGTTTGAAAAAAAGTACCAGGGAAGTTGTTTCCCCATGAATCGGTGGCTTGTGTGTATTTTAGTCTGCAAATCACTGTTTGCAAAACCCAGCTGAGAGGCAGTATTTGGAGAGAACCAGGAAAGCTGAAATTTTGGCGTGAGTTTTCTTACACAAATGCCCCCCTGATATTCACCTACTAAAATCCTCTCTCCTCTGTGAGATATGATATCTATGTGTTCTTTGTATTCATCGTATTTGTTTTTTTTAACTGAATGATCGGTCCTTTTAACTTTTAGTGATAATGCAACATGGCACCTATGCATCTCCCCTGTTTTGCTAGAACCTGCCATTGCTGCGACATGTCAACATACTAATGGAATATTTGCTTTGCAGGGTCAAATAGGATCAATCTCTACTCCAGATAGTCCACAGCAAACAATAGGAAATGGTCAAACGTATGGAACTTCTCGTGAACTAGCAAATGCAGGATCAAATATGAACGACGAAGAAGAACATTGCTTTTCATCACGTGTCCAACGTCTCTTTTCTACCGAGTTTTATTTTAATATTCAGGGGTAATTGGGAAAATTTGTCATATTTCCCCATCAATCTTTTATTTTCAATCAAACATGATCTGTGTAAAATTTACACAATTTTCCTGGTTATATTTCTGTCTACTAAACAACATTTTTAAAATTTCCCCACTTATTTTATTTTACAACCATTTCCCCACTATTTATATTTACCTGATTATAAAAAATATCTCCTGTACCAAACATCCCCTTATTGGTTTACGCCATCTTTAATTTCCATTTCGTCGAATGAAAGAAACCTACCATCCATTAGATTTTTTATTAACATGTCAGGTGGAAGCAAGGCATAAAAGGATTCCTAAAAAATAAAAACAAAGGAAAACAAAAAATTATCAAACTCTGGAAAAAAAAAAACTGGATATCGATCTCAAATTCATGGCCAACATCATAATATAAAATCAGTCAAATTAACAGGCTGAGTCCAAATTCTAGCCTTTTCTACAACTGTAATAGACTAATACTAGCTAGATGACAGAGCTGCTAATGATAATGATAATAATAATAATAAAAACATATATGTTTAAAGTAAAGTTGAGTGACTCTAACCTCGTTACTGTGATTTTGTGGAGAGGAAGCAAACAGAGAAGGGGAAGATACAAAAGCATCCGAAAACGTTTGAGGACGGAAAAGCGTCCCACCGTTCCCCCAAAAATGACCATCAAAATCATCTCGCCGCGAAAGCAGAGGCGCCGACGAGCAACGCTTCAAGATCTTGACAGGCTTTGACTTATTCGACCTCCGACGAGGCGACGGCGATGGATGCGGCGGCTTACTTCTCCGGGACGTGATCAACGGCGATCTTCGCCGTGGACTCCTTTGCGACATACAAAACAATACAATTATTAAATATGTATGGTGTATTGGGCTAGCTAGGGAATTAAAATAAAATTAAGGAGTTTAATTGACGGTGTGAATAATATATATAAGATGTGGTAGTTGAAGAGAATGAGAATGGTAGTTGATGTGGAGGCAGTAGCTGCACTTCACTTGTCGAGTTCTCTCCTTTTCATCTAACATTCATTACCGAATTGAGAAACATATGATATGACAAACCATTATGTATTTTGTGAATTTTTTTTTCCCCCACCGCAGGTTATGCTTTGCTTTTCCTATGTTGCCACTGGAGGTGTGTGGGTCCCGCAGTCTTTCCCCCATTTTCTGTTGTTACGTTGGCCCACCGGCCATGTATACTTTTCTTCCTGTTTGGGTCAATGCATATATTCACTGATAAAGTATAGTGAATTATCATTTATTTTTTTCCTTTTGGGATGAAATAATAATCAAACTTAGTGGTTTCAGCATATTCGAAATAGATAACCATATCTCGATTGGATGGTATATATATTTATTGAATGATTTGTTTTAAGGTATATAATTGAAAAAATTTGATATGATATCCATTAGAAATATTATGAATTGTTTTTTTTTTGTATAACATGAATTGTTTTCTAATACATTAAAAATATATTAATTAACGTTTAAATTTTCTTAGAATATTTTTTAAAATTTAAATGATATAAAAAGTAATGCTGTAAAAATAAATGCGACTAAAGGTTAATAATTGAATTATAATACCACTTTTATTGGCATGCTACCAAAAATTAATATATGATGTTATTTTCTTTAACCAGAATTTTTTTTTCCCAACTTCTAGTTAAAGAAAATAATTGGTCTAGTGGTAGGAAATTTGTGTAATTTGTATAAGATTATAAGTTCGAACCTCAATGTCACCGGTGAATTCAAAAAAAAAAAAACAAAAAAACGTTTTGATTTTCAACCCTACTCCCATTGAGTTCAAATTAATTAGGTAATCAATGAATGGAGAGATAAAAAAATAATATACTCATCTAGACATGAAAATAAAAATAAAACAAAAGATAACAAAAATGATACTTTAGTGAGAAACAATAATATTAAAAATATTTTTTAAAAATTTGAAGCAAACATGTGAATGTCATGTTCTTGAGATTAATTAAAAAAATAACAATCCTTAAAATAAACATACCCCAAAAAGGAAAATAATTCATTTATAAATTTTGATAAAACTGCACCTATTCAGTAGGTATGAATAGATATGAAATTTTCTCACAATCTTCTCTAATAATCTTGCATGAAATAATTTTTTCCCCTAAAATTAATAAATATTCCTAAATGCATTTATATTCAAAACTACTTAATTATATATATATATATATATATATATATATATATATATATATATACACATTTTGTTTTTAATTTCTTTCAAAATCTCCTTAATCGATCGTCATTTCAAAGTTTTTTTTTTTAAAAAAAAAAGAAACCAACAAACTTAAGCACTAAGATAAATTAATTATACCAATTTATCTATCGAGTCATAAGAATAAAGATTTCTTTAATTTATATATTTTCATATTATTGTTATGAAACTAATTTCTAAAATACTGTTATAATTAGAGACTTTTTAACAATTATCTACTTTATAGCTCGACTTGAAAATACTGTTTACTTATTATCAAGGGTGGACCAAGGGAGGAGCAAGTATTGGCCGTTGCCTCTCCTTAAATTTTAATCTATAAAATAAAATAATATTTTTTAATAATAATAGGTAATTAGTATTCATAGTTAGATCCGCAATGGCTTATAGCTTATCATTACACTTATCCAATACTACTACGGGGATAATATTTGTCTAAACCTGTACTAATCTATCCTGTTCATTTAATTAATGCTTTTTGACCTTTAATTAGATTTTCTTTGTTTACTAATATCACATGAACATTTTTTTTTCTTTTTTAAAGTTTTATGTTTTATCTGGTACATAAGATTTGTGTTTATTTATCTAAACATGAATTTTTGTTAATAGTTTTTGTGTTACATGTAAAAATGAATCTGTCTTAATAAACTAACAAAAAACTGACTTTTAACTCAAATGAGACCGAGTTAGAAGTACTTGATTTTAGATTTAAATCTGTTCGATACAATTTAATATTTTAGTTTGTATTTCCTTTTTTTTTTTTTTTTTTGTAAATTTATTTCCTTTTTTCTAAGCTGGGTCTTAGACATCATTAGAAAAATAAAATAAAATTGTATGAAAGTTTCAAAACAGTCGAAACTAATTATCTTTACACTGTTATTGAACCGTTCTCACTCTCAGGACCAGCAGAGGGAGCCAGTATGATGAGGTAAAGGACAACTGAAAAAGGGTTTCTTAGGTTGGGTCTTTGATTTAATTTTTTGAATTAAAAAATGGAGAGTTGGGTTGGGTACATTATATATGGGTGTTGGAATCGTAGGAGTAACATTGAGCCTAGTTTAATAATCGAGAAATTTTCGACTGATGTTTAAAAAGGGTTAAATTGAAATGACTAGTTGACCCAAGTTTAAACAACTTTCTAATTCGACTAACCTGGTTAAACCCCTGGTTCACAAGTTCAGGCCCGTATATCCAACTATTTCAACAAATGATTTAGGTAAAATTACTCTTCGATGTTGTGAAAGCGCGAGTAGGGGGTAAATGTAAAATTATTATTTCACATTATTGAATTCATTTTAGGATTTTATTTTTATTATGTTGCATGAGACAAGTTGTCTCATGCAACACACAAAAAGTGAGTGGGACCCACTATAATAAAGAGAGAGAAAATAAAAAAGTGGATTCCATCCATTTTTTTGTGTGTTGCAACATAAGAAAAATAAAACCCTTCATTTTATATATTGAAATAGAGCCATTTTTTAGAGTGATATTATACGTTGTCTTATTTCTTTGTTTGATTTTAACGTTACTCGACGTAAAATTTCAGTAAACAACGTTTACTTTTTCCCTTATGTCTTAGCATTTCTATTCATATATATATTTGTGTTTTTTTTTCTTCGGTTTTTGAATACCATTCATTTTTTTTAAATGTGAATCCTATACATAATGTTTGAAAAAATAAAAGAAATGCGACAAAGAAAAATAAGATATTAATATTTTTCATAACTTGTAATATTGTTAATATTTCTTAAAACGGCCTTGAAAAATATGGATTCATTACTAGTTATATATATATATATATATATATATATATATATATATATATATATATATATATATATATATATATATATAAAAAAGTTTTATAGTGAGTTGGCGGGTCAACCCACCAATCCGCCAATTAAAAAAAAATTAATTAAAATTCAAAAATAAATTATATTTTATGAAATTTTTTAATATTATTTTATTTTATTTCACACTTCTCTATAATTTTTTAGTCTCAATCTTAAATGTATACTATTATTTGTCAAATATTCTTTAGGAATTTATATATAGATAACATTTGTCATAAATAAAATTGTTATTCTTTATTTTTTCTAAGAAGTACTAAGATAAAAAAAAATTTGGATATCACAAAAATTTAAGGACTAATGAAATACTACCTAATTGTAAAAAAAAAAAAAAATTATAACCCGCGGGTTGAACCCGTTTTGACCCACTTCTAGGCGGGGCCGGTTGAGGTGGGTTGGGTTGGTGGGTTGAAAACCTCAACCCAACCCGTCCCGTTTTGGCGGGTTGGCGGGTTGACCGGTCGAGCTCAACCCATATTGTCACCTCTAGTTTTATATCCTTTTCAGGGCCAATATTAAAAAAAATTGTTTAGGCGAGGAAGAGTACCGTAGTTAAATTTGTAGGCAACTTTCTAGCCTTGTGTGTGTTTTTGTAGTGTTTGGTTCAAGTTTTATTTTTAGATCCCCGTCCATCTGATATTGGCATTTCATGTTGCCAACGTTTGGTAGTAGAAACACAAAAACTTATCCACCAAAATATTTTCCCCATCCTTTCTGAATTGCATGCAAAAAAAAAAATGTTGCACTCTTGAGGTTTACCATTTGTGAAGTGGTATTTCAAGAAAATTCGGGAAATGAAAAAATGTGAACCAAAAATATGACTTATTTACCCTGATTACATCCGTGCAATCTAACCACAATCTTTGTTTCCTTCTCCAACTCAATGCTAAAAAAAGCCACGTAATGAATGCGCTATTAGACTTCACAAAGAAGCAACAACTTTATCATCTCTTAGCAGAATCAATTTGTTATTTTGCTGGTTTAGCAGTTATGTTCTTCATCTATTGACTTATTCATTTGGTTCTATGGTTTCTCCTGAAAAGTCCATCATCTTCATCTCTTTATAATTCCAATAGATTCCCAGACGCTACACGCATTTGTGGTCTTCAAATACAGCTTCAACAACGTTTGAATGTCGACGCACACTCAAGTGGATGTATTTTCAAAAATGTTCTTGACTTTCAAAATTTTAAGTATAAAATGGTTAGTTTCGTTATTTCTACCCATTTTTTCATCATTATTTTACCTTTAATCAAACAAAGGCTCACAAAAATTAACACACTTTTTCTAGTAAAATTTTATCCAACTAAATAATTTATTTTTTTAAAATTTTTACCAAATTCATTTTTCTATCATATTCCTGGTTATTATATTTATCTGATTAAAAAAAATATCTCCTCCACTGAATATCTCCTTTATGTTGCAGGAAAGATTCGTCAGTATGTTGGACAATTGGAGCATTGCATTTCAGTTCTAACATTTAGCAAGGTGGGCTGCTACAGAATGTTTCATACGGATCCAAGTCTTTCTTTACCGTTTGACTCTTTACCAATAGATCTAAAGCCTAACGCTAGAAAAAACCCTTAAAGCCAATCCTCCTTTTTGTTTTTTCCAAGAAGTAGCCCAACTTCACATAATTTATTTGTATAGTGGTGTACTTAGTGTATCATTACTTAACTAATGATTAGAAAGATAGGAAAAATAATCAATAAGCCCGTCTAGCTCAGTTGGTAGAGCGCAAGGCTCTTAACCTTGTGGTCGTGGGTTCGAGCCCCACGGTGGGCGTTTTTTTCCTTCCTTTTTTCTTAAAACGACTGAGGATGATCGACTGATATTCCCCCACTTAGCTTCTCGTTAAATGTAGGTCATCTCCTAGTGGAAGCAGAAAACCAGAATGTCACCAATTATAGGGGCCAGCAATTATGTGGTTTATCTATC